TTTTAATTTAATATTTAAAATTTTAAAATAATTTGATTAAAATTTAATTAAAACCCTTATGTTGTAATGTTTCTCAAAATAATCTTTCCGGACAATGTTAAAGTATAGAAACATTTGTTATTTATATTTACCAATTTTATACAATTAATCTACTTCAATTCTGTTTTAATTTGTTTGATTAAAGTTATCTAGATATAAATTTAATTATTATAAAATTTTTTACAGCATTTTAATAATTTTATAAATTAATACAAAATTGTAGTTTAAAATGACAAAAACGATAATTTTTTCTCATTGTTAAAATTTTTTATATTAATTATTTAAATAATTACAAAATTGATATCTACATTTAAATAATTTATTTTAGCTTAACAAATAGATTTAAAACAGAATTGAAGTAGATTAATTGTATAAAATTGGTAAATATAAATAACAAATGTTTCTATACTTTAACATTGTCCGGAAAGATTATTTTGAGAAACATTACAACATAAGGGATTTAATTAAATTTTAATCAAATTATTTTAAACTTTTAAATATTAAATTAAAACTAGAATAAATAAGGTTAATTTTGATATACTAAACATTAATTTATGTTATGTAGTCTAAAAGTTATTACAATTTGAATTCTATTCAAAAACGACTGAAAACCTTTTGTACTTTAGATAAAATATTTGTTCAATATAAAATATTAAAAATTTTTAATATTTTATTTACAGCAATAAATAATAAACACGTACGAAAATCATACACTGATCTATTACTGGATATATTTCGACATTTAGTAAATCAAGCCTTACTTGACCCGAATTTAATGATCAACATCTGGGCGTTCAGTGCGTTAATAACTGCCGCCTGTTTTAGTGGTGGTATATTGACCTCAATAGTGAGGGTTAAACCAAATATTATTAACTCTATACCGGACATAATGAGTACCGATATGTCTGTATTAATTGGCAACAACTCCGATATGTGGCACATGTATGACAGAGAAATCGGTAACGATGAACATTTACCAATGGACTCGTTGCTAAAACAAATACAACCTAGAGTTCAGTTTATTGAAATTGAGAACATTGAATCGGTTAAACTAATTAGGGTACCATGTAAAAATGTAAAACTTACATCATTAATTTAATTTTCAGGTAAATTGGGAGGCAATAAAATTACGACAAGCCGTACTGACCTCTACCGGCAAATCAGTGTATTTTACAAAACATTATTTGAATACAAAATTGGGATTTAATGTAGGGATAGGACGGAGAAAATATTTCTTCACGTATTTATGCCATCCCTTAAACAAAATCACTACAATTAAACGCAGACGGGTGTTTAAAATGTAATATGCTGGTTTAAATGTACTGGTGGAATGACTGATCCAGATGATATAACTAAATACAATTAATATAAAGTAAATTCATGTTATGTTTTATATATTACAGTTTGAAAACATTGGTCGAGAGGGGACTGACTGTACGGTCCGATAGGCGTTGGGACACAAGTTTAGAGTTGGAAACTGTTAGGGGAGACGACGGGACACATGTCCGTACATCTGACCGCCGGACCGATAGTAGTGTCCGTCCCATTCAATTTCATGCCATACAAGACTTGTTTATCGGTGTTTTGACTTTATTTTCTCTCATAGAAGTCGTGATGTTTATTGAAATTATTTTTCATGATTTATATAATTGATCTAGATTTAAATAGACAATGAATTAATTTAATTAATAAGGTAATCACCACCATGTTTACTATATTTATATTGTTAACTTCAACATTAATAAATTATTTTTACGTGGAGTTAAAATTAGCACTATAAAATACTATGTCTATTATTTTATTTTAAAAATGATAATTTTATTTTATTAATTGATCTAATTTATATTAATTGAAAAATCTTAGTTTAAAGGCCTGTGATAAATACACTATATAATGAAATTAAACACAAGTTTTTTTTTTAATAAACGAGGTCAATTAAGACCCTAACACAGTAGTGCGTCCATCAGGAATCTAACACGATCCCTTAGGCAATATTGCGAAGCATTCTATCCACTGAGCTATCTCCCTAAAGTCGTCTTATTATGCTATTAATTCTAAGGTTAATCAAAGAAAACAATTTTGGAATACATTTCAAATCAATAAAAAAAAATTGAAAACTAATACAAAAATTTAGGATTTATTCGAAAAACAATTTAAAATCAGAATTTTTGACCAATTGTTATGGCAAATGACTTAAACTTTTTGAAACAAGCCTTCATTAATCTCCTCTCAATCGCAACACTAAATGCAAAGTCGACTCATTCTGGATGTTGTATTCGGCGAGAGTGCGGCCGTCTTCCAGCTGTTTGCCCGCGAAGATCAACCGCTGCTGATCCGGAGCAATGTTTTCCTTGGCCTGGATCTTCTGTTTCACATAATCAATGGTGTCCGACGGCTCCACATCAAGAGTGATGGTCTTTCCGGTCAAAGTCTTCACGAATATCTGCCACTCTTCACGTTTAGCACGATTCAACATTGATCGGGCTAGATCATCATTGTAACTAGAACGTTGCGTACGTGACAGCTGTCCACCTGGTAATTGTTGGCTCGGCACCACCATTACGACCACTATTGCCGCCGCCACAACAAGCATCATGGTTGTTTTATTCATGAGTGTCCTTCTGGTCTTTATGGGTTAATGGGAAATAAGAATATACATAAGATTTAGTATAGTAATATATCAAGATAAAATGATAATACCTTTGTGATTTTAAAATGTGGATTAAATGAATTACTTTGAAACTCTGCAACACATATGCTGTTTATTAATTAATATTATTTTTATTAATATTTAATTTATATAAGGGTTTTTAATTATATTACATTTATCTATTTTATTTCCATCTAGCGCTCACATATGCTTTTAAAAATATTGAGCATAACTTATATAATTTTAACTAAACTTTATAATATAAGTTTATACATTCTTAAGTAAAAAACATTTCATTATATTTATAACCAGGCATATAGCAATGCGAAACTACCCTATCACCCCTTATAGTTGTAATGAATATAATTTTTAAAACTTTCATAGTAATTGTGTGGGTCCACTTTGTAACACGATTTCACCGTAACCCAAACGCAAAACACCGCCCTACTCATTTTCTATATATTAAACTTTTCATCTACACATATAGATTTAACCAGTACTGTGCATCTTTCATTAAAAAGCTTGTATTTTAGTTTTTATCTAAACATTTGTAGTAAATTTTCAAACATTATCCACAAATGCCATTACATTTATTTATAAAACATTACACCTAATGCTAACCACCACTCTCTTTATTTGATAACAACATATTTGAGTGCATTTTGATAATGATAAACTAATTAGAAAGCATGTTGCCCTATAATGCGGGCAAATGCACCATTATGCCCGCTTTGCCCATCGTTGGATTTAACTAATTCACGTTTATTAATTTGTGCATTAACCAAGTCGTTAAATTTTACATCATCATCATACATGTATCATTGAATTTAGAATTGTTAACTAATATGTTCAAAAACTTGGAGAAAATCATATTTTAATGTTCAATGAATATACTATTATTATTTGAATAAACATGTTCTTCTTGTTAAACATGTTTAAACATAGATATTTTTGACATTATGATAATTACTTTTTATTTTATAAATTTAAATATAATATAAAACTTAACATATTAAATGTACGAATAATAACATTATAAGTTGTGGGGTTCAATAAAACCATTATGACGAATACTCTTACTAATGGAGTACAAGTCTTACATAACACAAATTTTTGACAAAATTAGGTTTAAATGGTAGATTAGGCCATATAAAAAAAATAAATTGAATATCTCGGGCTGATATGAAGGTACGGTAAAGTTATGGCCATTTTAGTGATTCAACCACGGGGTATAGAATTGAAAGATGGTGTTTCACACAGTGCTTGGGCTAATTACCAGAACTGCATTGCTATACGCACTTTATAATACCGGATGACATGATTAAGTTTATTTAAATCGCAACCAGTTAAATCAGTTGCGAAATATTCGTCTGTTAGACAACATCTCAATTATTGTCTAAATAATAAATTATGTAAAACTAATTACAATTTTATTGAATAATACTTATACCAAAAAATATGCACCTGGTAATTATTAGTGTTGACATAAATAAAGATAGTCATTAGTTATCAGCAACTATTAATTTTAATCATTAATACAGTGTAGTAAATACAATATTGAAAATCCATAGGCGTATAATAGTTTGATTATGTAATAATATCAATTTATTTTCCAGGTTCAAGTCTATGCAACGTATAAATATTGGCAAAACAATATTTTTACTTTAATTATTTGTAGCTACTGTTTATAACTATTTTGTTAAATGCATATATGTCATTAAACAATATAATTTATTTAACAGTCACAAATTAATAGTCTTTTAAATTACTTTTGTTAATGTTATTTAAAATATTTATTTTTATTAATTAATGGCTGATGAACTAAAAGATTGTATAGAATTTAAACATGGTGATCATTATTTAGGTGACAAATTAAAAAATTATACATTGTCCATATTTGTTTATGTTGAGGTAAGTTATATAACATAAAACAATTATTTTACATTGTTTAAATAATTGTATTGTTACATAATCAATACCATTATTTTATCAGTGGCTTTGCGGCTATGAAGCAAATACGCTACGAATATTATCAAGCTTATTCAATATAACATTACGAATATTAAACATGGATGAAAATCATGAAAAGTATTTTACTGAACACATGGTAATAAAATTAATTAATTTTCGTTTTAACAATCTAATACAAAACTAGAAACTTTAAACAATATTTATATTTTATGAATACTTAAATTTATTTAAAAATTTTATAATGATATATTTTAATTAATTATATTATTATAGAATTTTGATTTGTCGCTATCACCAGTGACATTGGATATGTACCTTGATAAATATTCATTAATAGCATGGTACGCAGATGAACACAACCTGGTAATTTTAAGCCAATTATTTACCCCTCAACCAAATTTATTGCACATGTTTAAAATATTTGATTACAAAATATGGCTATTATTATCATTATCAATTGTTACAATAACAACACTATTATATACAATGGAAACAATAAAATTGAAAATACATGGTAAGATGTTATACATTAGATAAAACTAGCCGTCAGCCCCGTCCACCAACTCTGTTATCCACCCCCTATTGTATGTTACTGTTGTATTTGTGTGCACTTTTCTTCTGTTTACTTTAATAAATGTATTGATGATTATAATTTTAAACACACTATCCGTTTATGTTTATTGCATTTATTGTGAATGTATTGAATGTAAAAACGTGGCATTCATAGGCAAAAATTCAGTTATTTTAATTTTATTACTTATAGTACTTTTGTACTAACATTGCTAATTATTAATTGTAAACTTTACATATAATGCCCTCTCTCTCTCTCTCTCTCTCTCTCTCTCTCCACACACTTTCCTACAATAAACTGGTC